AATAATATTCCATTGTTTACTCATTTTGTTCACCCATTCCTCCACTGATGGACATTTTAGTTGTTTTCATTTTGGGGCTGTTATGAATAATGTTTTTCTGAGCATTCCTGTGTAGATTTTTGTGCGGACATATGTTTTTAGTTGTACGTGATATGTATTTAGGAGTGTAATTGCTGAGTCATATGGTAATTATGTTAAGCATTTTGAGAAACTACCAAATTGTTTTCCAAACTTAATGCACCATTTTACAATCCCATCAACAATGTAAGAGGGTTCCAATTTTATCCACATCTTTATCAACACTTGTTATTGTCTCATTTATTTTAGCTATCCTAGAAGGTGTGAAGTAATATTTCACTGTGGTTTTGATTTGCATTTGATTGATCATTCCCTAATGACTGATAATATTGAACGTCTTTTCATGTGTTCATTGGCCATTTGTTACTGAGGGTTTTTTTAAATTATTAAGTTATAAGAGTACTGTATATATTCTATATACAAGTCCCTTATCAAATGTATGGTTTGTAAGTATTTTCTTTACATTCAGTATATTCCAATCTGTGAATTATATTTTCATATTCTTGATGATGTCCTTTGAAACATGAAAGTTTTAAATTTTGATAAATTCTGTTTTGTCTGATTTCTTTGGTCACTTATGCTTGTAGTGTTAAATCTGTGAAACCATTGGCTAATCCACAGTCACAAGTATTTACTCCTATGTTTTATTCTTAGAGTTTTATAGTTTTAGATCTTACATTTAGGTATTTGTTCATTTTGAGTTAATCTTTAAATCTGGTGTGAGATATGGGTTCAGTTTCATCTTCCACATGTGGGTGTCCATTTGTTGAAGATAATAGTTTTGTCCACCAAATTGTCTTGATACTGTTGTCAAAGAAATTGACCATAAATATAAGGGTTTATTTCTGGACCCTTAATTCTTAATAGACCCTTAATCTCTATTCCATACATTTATCCTTATGCCAGTACCACACTGTCTTGATTTCTGTAGATTTATAGTAAATTTTGAAGTATGGAAGGATAATCCTGTAACTTTGTTGTTCTTTTAGAAGATTAGTTTGACTATTCTTGGTCCCTTGTGTTTCCATATGACATTTAGGATCAACTTGTGATTATGTGGAAAAAAATTGCCAGCTGAGATTTTAATAGGAATTGTTTTGAATTTATAGATAAATTCGGGGAATATTACCATCATAGCAATACTAAGTTTTCTGACCCATAAGCATGAGATTTATTTTCATGTATTTAGATCTTTAATCTCAGTGTTTGTAGATTTCAGTGTACAAACCTTGCATATATTCAGTTACATATATTCCTAAGAATTTTATTCTTTTTAATGCTATTGTAAGTGAAAATATTTTCATCATTTCACTTTTGGATTGCTCATTACTAGCATATAGAAATACAATTGATTTCTGCATGTTGACCTTAAATCTTACAACCCTGTTGAATTCATTTATAAGTTCTAATAGTTTTTTTGTGGGTCCTTAGGATTTTCTATAAACAAGATAATGTCATTTGTCAACAGAGATAACTTCTTTTTTTTAGTTTGAGTTTTCATTTTCTTGGCTAATTGTTTGGTTTCTTGTCAAGAGTTCTAGCCAAGTATATTTTCTAGGTGATTGTCTATTTCACTTCAAAGTTGAAATTTATTAGTATAAAATTGTTTATCGTAGTCTGTTATTTAAAATCTGTGCTCTGTCTATAGTAATAAAGGCTCTTTGGTTCATTCCTAATGCTATTTATAACTTCTGCATTCTTTTCTTACATTTTCTTCTATATGAGATGTGCATTTTTAAAATTATTTTTAAACTTTTTGAAATACAATACACATCTAAAAAAGCATGCAGATAACAACTATAGAGGTGAATGGATTTTCACAAACTGAATACAGTTATGAAGTCAGCACCCAGATTTAGAGACAGAAAATTATCAGCACCTCAGATATTCCCAGTATGCCCTCTTCCAGTGACTCCCTGCCCTCACCCCACAGGATAACCCATCTTGATTTGTAAATATGGAAATTAGTTAAAATTATTTGTCTACTTTATGTAAATGATATAATGCACTCTTGAGTCTAGCTTATCTCAGTTGACATTATCTGGTGATACTTATTTTGTATGCAGTTATGGATCACTCATTCTCACTAACTAGTTATCCATTATATAAATAAACTATAATATTTAAGTTTTCTATTCCTAATAGGCATTTGGTAGTTTCCAGTCATGGGCTATTATGATGGGATAAATGTACATACACATTTCTTTTGGGTATATACCTAGAAGTGAAATTGCTGGATCCATAGAGTATACATGTGCCAACTTTAGGATATATTGCCAAACATATTTCCAAAGTGGTGGTATCAATTTACATACCCATCAGTCATGTGTTAGAGCTCCATTTTCTCCATACCCTCAACCAACCCTTGGTATTTTTGTCTTTTTCTTTTTAGTCCTTCTGGTAAGCATATAATCAGGCATGCATTTATTTTCAAATTATTTCAAAGTATTTAAAAATATTGGGTTATTTCACCTAGTTTTTAATGGTGATTTCTAAGTCAGTTGCATTTTGAACAGAGAATATGGTCTACATAATAGATTGCCATCTTTTATGGCTATGGATTGCTTGTGGCCTTGTGCACATGGCAGTTTCATAAATATACACATGTGCTGGAGAAGAAAGTGTTCTCTAAATGTTTGAATGTCTAGTTCTATATATGGTGGTTGGATCTGAACTTCTTAATATTGTTGTTTAAATTCTATCCTTACTACTTTTCATGTACTTTACTTACCAATTATTTAGAATATTATGTTAAAAATCTTCCATTCTGATAGATTTAATTTTCTTTGTATATCTGTTAATTCATGTTTTTTATATATTTTCAGGCTTGTGTTTTTACATGTAGAGAAGTCTGAAACTGCTCTTTCTTCCTCATGAATTGAACCATTTGGTGGTGTTTTATGTTCTTCTTTAAATTTGATGCTTTTTGCTCTAAAGAATAGTGTGTCTGATATCAACCTAATTACTTTCTTTTGGTTATCATTGTTCTATATTTCCCCTGCATAGCATTGGATTAAATAAACTACAGTCATACCTCAGAGATATTGTGGATTTGGTTTCAGACCACCACAATCAAGCAAATACCACAATAAAGAGAGTCAAAGAACTTCTTTTGTTTCTCTGTTATGTGAACATTATACTGTAATCTATTAACTTTACAATAGCATTAGGTCTAAAAAACAATGAGTATACTTTAATTTAAAAATACTTTATTGGTAAAAAATGCTGACCTTTAAGCTTTCCGTGAGCCATAATCTTTCAGCTGGCGGAGGGTCCCGCCTTGATGCTGACGACTACTGACTGATCAGGGTGGTGGTTGCTGGAGGCTGGGGTGGCTGCCGCAATTTCTTAAACTAAGACAACAGTGAAGTTTGCCACATCAGTTCACTCTTCCTTTCACAGATAATTTCCTTGTAGCCTGTTACGCTGTTTGAGAGCATTTTACCCTTAATGGACTGCTTTCAAAACTGGAGTCAGTCCTCTCAAACCTGGCTGCTACTCTATCTACTAAATTTATGTAATGTTCTAAATCCTTTGTTGTTCTTTCAGTAGTCATCATAGCATCTTCACCAGGAATAGATTCCTTCTCCAGAAACCATTTTCTTTGCTCATCCATTAAGAAGCAGCTCATCCATTAAAGTTTTATTACGAGATTGTAGCAATTCAGTCACATCTTCGAACTCCACCAGTCATTGTAGTTCTCTCCTGTTTCCATCACATCTGCTGTTACTTCCTCCACTTATCTGCAATAATGTTACATTTGAACAAGGGTGTGAAACAGGCCAGGAAGTAAACTATGTACATATCCAGGGAAGAACGTACCAGACGGAAGGAACAGCAAATTCACAGATATTAAAGCAGAAACATGACCGATGTGTTCAAAGAATATCAAGGAAGCCAGAGGGCCTGGAGTGCTCTGAGTAAGCAAGAGGGTGGTTGGAGACGAGGTGTTGGACTGGATTATATAGGACCTCATAGACTCCTGTAAGGACTTTGGTTTTCACTGTAATTTGGGCATCCATTGGGAGATTTTAAGCAAAGGGCCACATGATCTGATACAGGTTTTTAAAGGACCGTTCTGACTAACCATGTTGAAAATAAACTATAAGGGTCAAGCATTAAAGCAGGGAGATGTGATAGGAGGCCATTGCAGTACTCAAGACGAGGTGATGGTGGTTTAAACCAGGACACAGTAGAGGTTGTGAGAACTGGCTAGATTCCAGATATATTTTGAAGCTAGAACAAACTTGTTCAGTGAGTATCCATGTGTCAGGTGCTATTGTAGGCACTTGATACAACAGTTAATAAAGAATCCTGTTGTCAGGGAACATATATTTTAGTGGCGGAGATACTAACAAAAAATAGCACATGTAGTAGATTAGTAAGTTGTATAGTATATTAGAAGATAGTACTGACTACAGGAGGAAAAAAATAAAGCATAGTAAAGGAGACTGGAGGTAAAGAGAACGTGGTGGGTGGGCCAGGGCATGGAAGTTACAGCATTAAATGAAGTGGTCTGGATGGCCCACACTGAGAAGATGACATTGGAGCAGAGGCTTGAAAGAGTGAGGGCGTGAGTTATGTGCCATTCTGAAGGAACAACATCCCATCAGAGGGAACAGCAAGCAAAGGTCCTAAGGCAGGAGTATGCCTGGCATGTTTAAGGACCAGCTAGGTGGCCAGTATTAAGATGAATGAGTTGAGAAGACAAGGTCAGGGAGATGAAAGGCTTAGAAGACAAATCTCATAGGGCCTTGTACGCTGTTGTTAGGACTTGAGCTTTTTCTCTGAGTGAAAATGGGCACCATTACTGCAAGGGTTCAGCCTAAGAGTGGAATGATCTGACTTGCATTTTAAAAGAGTCACTCTGGCTATTATAATAGAATTTTCAGGAGAGTTGATGATTATGTCTGTGATTTTAGGTATATTACAGCTAATACTGACACAGAAGAACAGAGTTTTCCAGTCTCTAAAGCATTTAACACACGTGTGCAAGAATTAAATTTAGATGTCCTTCTTCAGAAAGCAGACAATTTACGTATGAATGAGTCTAGCAAGATGGAGAGTTTTGAACTACTTTGTGACCACAAAGAAAAGGTAGGAGATATGTTAAAATAAGATGCTCGTATAGTTTTGATTTTTTGTTTAATCTATTGTCCCACTCATGTGATGACCATAGCAATTGTGTCACAGTTTGTACACGCTTAATGACTGGTGCAAAATTATTCTGTAATATGATTAAAATGTTTTTGAAGTAAATGTAAGAGGTTATTATTAGGCCCTAAGATAATAAAAATGAGAACCAGAGAGAGGATTATACAGATTTTTTTTATTTTTATTAAATCATTGTACTTAATAAATATTTTACAACAGATAAATAACATGACATACTGTTTATCTTAGAGGAGGAAAAGCTACATTTTAAGTTTTCTATTTTATAGTTATTAATATAACAGCCATCATTGTTTCAATCTATTTCTACTAAGTTATTAATATAACAGCCATCATTGTTTCAATCTATTTCTACTAATACCAGTGGTCATTCTTCAGTGTTAATGTCAGGCTGAACAGGGAAAGCCCATCCCTTCCTCTCTCTCCACAACCCCTCCCAAAAAAAGGTGGGGGGCAGTTTGCAGCATCCCAAGCAGCAATAAATCTTTCTTTCCCATGAACAATATAAGTCATATCTTTGAGGATACAGCAATCCTAAGCACACTTGTCTAAAATTTTTTAATCTACAGGATTATATTTAGGTAATACAGGATTATATTTAGGTAATATGGCTGCTTTTTTGAGTACTTGTGATCTTGAATAACAGATATAATCTGAAATGCTCATTGAGGCATCATATTGATAGTAGGTAACTTAGGAAGGAAAGTAAGAAGAGGCTACCAGCACCCAGGGGGAACGCCTGTTAGTCTTCGCTTCTGGGTGCATGTGGAGCTCAGGTCTGGGTAATAGTCACTGGTTTTAAGATCCAAATGTAATACTATATTAAATCACATTTTGTAGCCATGAATAAATTCAAAATGTTATACATATATGAATAGATGCAGTCATCTATAAATACCAGTTTACCTGCCTAATTTTTAAAAATTATTTTTATTAAATCATTGTACTTAATAAATATTTTACAACAGATAAATAACATGACATACTGTTTATCTTAGAGGAGGAAAAGCTACATTTTAAGTTTTCTATTTTATAGTTATTAATATAACAGCCATCATTGTTTCAATCTATTTCTACTAAGTTATTAATATAACAGCCATCATTGTTTCAATCTATTTCTACTAATACCAGTGGTCATTCTTCAGTGTTAATGTCAGGCTGAACAGGGAAAGCCCATCCCTTCCTCTCTCTCCACAACCCCTCCCAAAAAAAGGTGGGGGGCAGTTTGCAGCATCCCAAGCAGCAATAAATCTTTCTTTCCCATGAACAATATAAGTCATATCTTTGAGGATACAGCAATCCTAAGCACACTTGTCTAAAATTTTTTAATCTACAGGATTATATTTAGGTAATACAGGATTATATTTAGGTAATATGGCTGCTTTTTTGAGTACTTGTGATCTTGAATAACAGATATAATCTGAAATGCTCATTGAGGCATCATATTGATAGTAGGTAACTTAGGAAGGAAAGTAAGAAGAGGCTACCAGCACCCAGGGGGAACGCCTGTTAGTCTTCGCTTCTGGGTGCATGTGGAGCTCAGGTCTGGGTAATAGTCATTGGTTTTAAGATCCAAATGTAATACTATATTAAATCACATTTTGTAGCCATGAATAAATTCAAAATGTTATACATATATGAATAGATGCAGTCATCTATAAATACCAGTTTACCTGCCTAATTTTTAAAAATTTCCAGTGGAAAACATTGATAGTCTGGTCAGGTTACTTAACCTAAGATGTAGTTCTATCTTTTCTTTTCAGTTTAGAGATGAAATAGAGTTTATTTGGCGGTTTGCTCGTGCTTATGGAGACATGTATGAGCTATCTACAAATACTCAAGAAAAGAAATATTATGCTAATATTGGTAAGTATTTTGTAAAAATTGAGTATCTGCAAGTGATAATTTTTATCTATAAATAAACCAGTAATGAATTTTAATACAAGCTAAATTGGCTAAAACCAATATGTTTCAATATATCTATTTCAATATGTTGTGATTCTGAGAAATGCACCTAGCTTAAGGACAGAAAGGATTTTTGGAAAGTATAGGTCCTTTAAAGCATTTAAACATATTAGAATAGGTAAGTGAAAACTCAAATTTCAGCTATTACCATTTATAAAGTCACAGAAAGATGAGACATTAAAGTGATAATGTTTGAGAAGTAATAGTAGGCAGAGGACATCTGTCTTCAGCTATAGTACTTGACCCCAATTAAAATAACCTTCCTTACTTCCTGCAACATAGAACACCAGGTACTACAAAGAAAAGACTACTCAGACTTTAATGTTTTTTCCAAATTTATCTTGATAAAATAGGGTTAGCCTTAGGTTGGTAATTGTTTAAGCTGAGTGATGACTACATGGTGGTTCATTATACTGCCCTCTATTACTTCTTTTTGCATAGTTTTAGAATTTTCCACAGTAAAAACCATCCAGAATATCCAGTCATTTATACATGTATTTCTCACCTTGACTCTCACTGAGTATCAGAACTTGTTCTTGCAAAAAAAAATCCCTTAACTGCCATCTCTCTGAGCTTCCTGGTAGCAATCTGACATCAGAACATCTTTAATACTTCTTGTATGTCAAAGCTTTCTCTTTTCCAAGCTTACCTTCTCAAGAGAGCGCGAGGAAGAGCAGCAAGAAGATACTGTCCTTCCAGTCTAGTTCCATCATGCTTATTTCCAAGAAGGAAATATCTCCAAACTCCTTGCACCTACATTTCTTCCTCAGCAGATTTCCTTGCCAAATGACCTCTGCACTTTAATTCTCCCTCAGTGGAAGGAGAATGAGGAATTCCCCCTCTTGTTCTTTACATATTCACCATTAACTTGGTGGGGCTGTTTTTCTGTAGCACTTCATATACAAAATGGAATTCTAGAGAACAGACTTATATTACTCTTTAGGTAAATAAAAATTTAACCAAAGAGAACAAACTAATTTATTTTCATATCTACTGGGAAAATTGCAGCTTATCCTTATAAACCATTCCAACATTCATTAATATCATACATGCTTTTTTTTTCCTTAAGTACCTGCCCTACATTAGAACATCTCCTATTTTAGGAGGTAGAAACAATAACCAGATAAATAGACATGTTCTCAGACTGTAGAGGAGCTTAAGCTTTGTGGAGGAGGCAGTGTTATTCAAATGAGCATACATTTCAAGAAACAAATGAAAATAAGTTGTGAGTAAAGAAAAATGCAGGCTGTTAAGATTGTGTCTCATAGGAGGGTATGATGGCAGGGGCTGGGGCTGGCTTAAGGAGGCTTTCCTGTGGCTGTGAGAGTTGCACAAAGGTAAAATTACTCAGGACGTCTACTTTAAAATGGAGTGGGAGTTTAACTGAATTAATGTAGGAGATGGTGAAAGAGGAAAAAAAATGGACTGGAAGAAATTTGGGCACAAGAATGGGGCCCAGAGGAAATAGGATATATCCAGAAAAGGAGAAAAGTTCATAGTGTCAAAGGAAAAGGAGTGAAGCCCCAGGTGTGTTCATTCAGATACTGAAATAAAAAGAACTCCTTTTTTTTGTGCATTTAAGACATGTGTTCAAAATTACTGTGCCTGAGATCAATGTTAAAATGAGGGGTGGAAGGAAGCAGAGGAGGGACGTAAATATGACTAAGACATAAGGAACTCAGTGCTTACGTGGAGCCACTTCTGATCCAGTGTGCAGGCGGTGAGTGCTTGGTAAAGGAGCCGACAGACTGCGCTGGCGCCGAGAGCAGCTGCTGAGGGACATTGGAAGTCAGGGAGGGAGGGAGAAATGCTGGGTGTTACTCCTCATAAGAGCATTCTGAAATTGTTGCTGAGGGAAGATTTGGTCACTGGAGAGGGCCGAATTCTTTCATAAAACTGAAAATTCTTTCATACCATCATGCAGTACATCTTTTGAAGTACTATGATTGATCATAATTTGTATTCCAAGTAAAATATGAGTCTTATATCTAAAGGAACATTATTATATTTTCCAGAATTAGATGATGATTGATACAAATGTCTCAAATAGAATAAATACAATTTTGTAAAGGCAGTAGCTTTCCTTTTAAACTTTGGCTACATAAATGAGGCTGCAATACCAGTCTCTAACTAACCACCTTCCTTTTATATTCTCAGTGATGTAATCTTCTCTCTTTTAGGCTATGGTAGTGTACTAAAAGCTAGTTTTGTTCATTTGGCAATGTAGCTAAAATGTTGACTTAGCTTTTAATGTTTGTACATTAAAAAGTATTAATGATTTTCAATCTTTGATTAAAAAATTACTCTTTTAATGTATGTCTACAATGTAGTATCAGTTATTATTAAAATAGTTAACTTTTTAATTTTTTCCAGTTTTTGTAGATTTCTATCCAGGGTAGTTCTCATAGATAGATAGATAGATAGATAGATAGATAGATAGATAGATAGAGCAAGCTACAAAGTACCACCTTAAGAAATTAACATATAGGAGAATGGTTTTGAAATAAAAGATCCTTATTTATAAAGATTATCTCATCTACTTATTTAGAACAGCATTTTGCAGATGATTGGATATTCTCTTCAAGGTAAAAAAAAAATGGACTGGGGAAAAATGAGGGTATAAAACAAAGCAGCACCCTTTTGAGAGAGATTTCAGAATGTGGCCCAGTTTTGTTGCATTTTGATTTTTCAAGCCAACAGAAAAAGCTATATTCAAATTATTACATTATTAAAAGTCATTCTAAATCTAAGTAAAATGATATGGGAGAATTATTTATGAACTGAGCCTGTTCATCATTGAGAATGATGAGGCAAGAACTTCTCTGGGAAGCCTTCCCTTACCCCTTTAGGTAGAGTAACTGTTTCCTCTGCTATGCTCTCTTTTTTATCTTGCTGTTAGTTTTTGCATGTAATTTGTTTGTTTATACACCTGCTTCCTGTTGAACTGTGAACCCCTTGGAAGCCTAAAAGTCGATCTTATTTAACTTTCTATTCTCGGAGGCTCAAATAATGATATTTAGAAGGCACCAGTAAATGTTGGTTAATTACAAAACAATTTTTATTAACACTTTTAAAGAATGATTGAATGATTTTTCTTGGTTGAATCCCTTAGTCCAGTGAGTCTCAAACTTGAGGAATTGTCTCATTGAGACAATGAGTCTCATACTTCAGAATCACTAGAGGCTTATTAAAACAGATTGCTGAATCCCAGAGTTTGTGATCAAGTAAGTCACCCATGTGGCTAAAATTTGCTCTTCTAACAAGTTTCCAGGTGATGCTCTGGTCTTGGGACCGTACTTTGGGAACCACTGAGTTAATTCATTGATCCACCTCCCACCAGTTCACATGAAGGTACTAAGTGTAAGTACATTTATCTTTCAGGAAAGACATTAGGTGAAAAAGCTATTACTAGAGCACCCATGAACGGATATTGTCATCTGTGGTAAGTATATAGAACTTAAGCAATCTTTTTAAATCCTAATATGCCATTAATAAATTATGATGGATTTCAAAAATATTATTGACTCATTTAACCTGCCTTTCACATTCACTGAAAAATATATTTAGTAGCTAGCACAGTAACTGTTTCTGTTGTGTTTACTCTCATGTTTTTTCAATATGTGTATTTTAAATATATTTAAGGTCAACTTTCATTGAAGATTTCATAAGTAAATCTACCAAGTCCAGTGGCTTTGAATATGATAAATTTTAATTAAGTCTAATTTAATATAAGATTTTGTTTGAAAACAAACACTAAAATGGTGACATGTTTCTAAACAAAATATAGAAAGAAAGCTTTAAAGAATAAAAACACATCAGCCATTTTTTATACCTTGATGAGTCAAGGTATACAAATTCCACAGATCAAAGGAGAGACATTTATAATACAAGAAAGCTCAAGCAAAGGGAGTTTAATTAGCTGGATGGGTACAGGTGAATGTCCTTGGGACAAAAAAAAATTTATTCTTGAATATGTTTTGTTTGGAGTCTTTTGTATGTTTCAAATTATAAAAAACGTAAAAGGAGAAATATGCTTTTTTATCTAACCCTTCTTTTACTTGTAGTTGCATTTTTACAACATTTTTTTTCTTTTCTCTACAGCAATATAGGTACTTAAGTGCTAGGAAGATATGATAATTTATGACCCTGTCGCAGACCTACATTTCCAGAAATCTGCCCCTATTCAGGATTATTTCATTCTTCTGGGGCACTGTTAGGCAAAACCTCTCTCAAAATGTCTCCCTTTCTGCAGGTTCACATTTGTTCCACAGCAAATTGTTTTTTGCCCCACCAACTCAAGTGCAAACCACTTTCCCGAAACAGACCTGTTTCTTTGCTCTGCCACCAGCAGAGGGCGCACCACTCACACTCTCATCTTAAAACTTCCCTGGGTGGGAGTCTGGTAACATTTTTTTATGTCCCCCAAATTACAAGGGACACGTGCCAAATAAGAATATATCTTTTGAAGTCCCTTAGCTTAAGATGAAATGCAAGCCTGCCCCCTGCCCTTTTACCTGAGAAGGTGGGAAGCAGAACCCAGTACCAACAATTCCATCCACAGAAGAACCTCACTCCAGGTCTCTTCCTGCCACGCGAGTCCTTTGCCTTCTTTTACATGGCCTGGAGGTGGGTGAAGGGTTAAGCCTGACAGAGCCTGTGAATCATTTCCTGAGCGTGCCATTTAATGGGTACTAGAGGGTCTTGCTTTAGGAATTGGAGTACCTAAGAGAGTACCTAATAAAGTATTGTTTTGCGCCCTTGATGCCCCTGCCAAAACCCTAGGAGAAGGGCAACTTTACAGTTAATATCCTGATACATATCCTTAAGATCACTTCCCCAGTATCCTTGGCTATTACTTCTATAGCCAGCTTTACCTTGCCTGTCTGATTTGCAGAGTACTAATATTAATAAAATCACGTATGTGTGCATTAAGTGCTTCTGTTGGCCCAGTTTCAGTAGTAGGTCGTAAGCTTACCCTGATCCAGCCTCTGTTCATCTGCTTTGATACTAGAGGTGTTTGGGAGCGGCCGGCAGACTTGGATGCAGGAGCGCCCACGTCCTACTCCATCCACTCTGAGCTGCTCTGTCCCTCCTCCTCTTCCTCTTCTTTTTCTCATACATGTGTCTGCATCCATGAAGAATCACATTAAACGTGCATTTGTTATTATTCCTCGATTTGAGGACATTTATCAGTGTGACCTTCAAATTTTCTTAGAGAAATAGTCTTGAATCGTTGAGGGCTTTATCAGCACCTTGCGATCCGTCTTGTGAGGACAGACAATGCTTAACTCTTCCTTAGTGCATTACCCAGTCTGTCCTTCACTTATCTGGCTACTTCCTCTTTGTTCAAGTTTTTTCACTTTTTGTCATGAATTCTCATTTATAACCATGGGATTTAACCCCAAAGTTAAATCTTACTAACACACATACACACAGAGTAATGATCCAATTGTGTTTCATGTAATTTCTTAGTATCAGTTTTTAATTTTAAAAAATATTAAAATCTAATCAGTTTATAAAAGTTAATAAATTCCAGTGTCCATCTTATCTAAATTCCGAGAATGTATTGTAATGTACCTACTGAATACAAGAGTTCTCATTTAATAGAGACTTAGGATGATGAAAACGAGAATTCAAACTATGACTTGACAAGCAACAAGTGAAATTTCAGTTAACTAATTACATAATTGTAATAAAACGTCGCAAAATGTTCTTACTCTTCTGAAATCTTTTTCAGCATGTTAAGACATTTTTCTCATTCACCCCGTATAGCGTGTAGCCTACAGGCCAAATCCAACTGCCTACTTTTGTCAGTAGAGCTTTGTTGGAGCACGGCCATACCCATGCATTCGAGCGCAGTGATGATGTTGAGTAACGGCAGTAGAGACTCTGACCCCAGAGTCTAAGTTGATTGTTACCTGACCCTGCAGCAGAAGTTTGCAGACCCATGACTTACAGGGGTATGTAGTGGTTCATAAGCCTTCAGTTTGAAATAAAAGGGGCAATCTTCAGGAAATAATTATCATAAAAAATGAACTCTGAGGGAATAATTAAAAAACAAATACATTTTAAAGACCATTTTTCATCTTAATATTTTTGAAAAAGAAATTTCTTTAACTTTAAAGCTACATTTTACAATTTCTGTAAAATTCTGTCATTTTTCTTGTGCCAGCCTAAAATACTTATAGAAGCAGAGAGAAAAACACCAATGGCTTTGCAGTCTGTCAGCCAAATAAGCTTGACCTTAATTTTAATTAATGTTTTACATGTGCATTGTGTTCTACCATTCACAAATTATAACCACATGCCATATACTGTGTGATTCTCAAAACAACCTGCTTTCTTTTTACAGATATGATAAGCAAGGCAGTGCATGTGGTGTGTGTGTGGTACATTGTGATGATTAGTAACCAAGGGTCACACAATAAGTGGAAAAACAAAAACCACATCTTCTGTTCCCATAGTCATATTTCTTCATACATTATTCTTCCTCCACTTTGCTGAATCAAAAGCATTGCAGGGAAACTGATGGAGTTGTTTTAGTAGTTGTTAAAATACAGAAATGTTGTCAGTTACTAAAGATACAGTCTTTATCAGTGCAAAGAGAATACAGGGTTTTTGTCAAAGCAACCTCTAGAGGGAGGTAATAGACCATATTGTGAGTTAACTTTCTTCAGAGTTCCCATCAACCTGAGAGCTTAAGGAATACAATTTTAAATTATTTTTTTAAAGAATAGCAATATAAACAACAACACAGTCACAGACATAGGTTGAACTGATTACCAGAAAAGAAGTGATAATCCTTTGGGAAAAAGCAGTCAGGTGAACTTCAAATTTATGATAACATAGGAAGATAAATAATGTTCTAGACTTCAAAGAAGGAAGACTTCAAAAAAGATTATGAAAAACATAAGACTGTAGTGACAAGTTATTTTAAAGGAAAATTTAAACATTTTATCTAATGGTATCCAGAAGTCATGGGCTCTTTTCTTCACTCAGAGTATCTTGGAAAGAATGTACTGAGAGAGCACTATAAACACCTAGAGATGCACATAAGTAGTTCTGATTTTCAGAAAATAGAAGATTGGTTCCACTCCTGTAGATCAGTGAAAATAAAATCTGTTCCTTTGCTTCTCGCAGATAGTTGGGTGGTTCTGTGAGTCTCTAGATGAGGAAATTCAAGTAGACCCAATGTAGATTTTTCTAAAAATGCGACATGATCTGTTTTATATTTTTCTGCTAGTAGATAGAGTAGGGAAATCAAGCTGGTATATATGTGGATTTAAGCAAGGCATTCAGGCATAAGGTTCTTGTGGACAAGATGTAGAAATGTGGGCAAGCTTCTGGGTTACCCATGCTGACAGAAGGATTTGAGCCTCGGTTATTCAACAGAGTAACTATTGAAATATCATTGTCAATCTGGAGATGATTCTAGGGTTCCAGGTCTGTATCTTAGAGATCAGTGTATTCCACAATTTTGTCAGTGGGTGAAGATATAGAAGACATGCTTATAAAAGTTGCAAAATAACAGAAAGAGGAAAAGGATATATGATGGATGATAATAGTAATTCAAAAGATTTTCACATATTGAATAAATACTGAATGAAGTGCGAACAGGAAAAAACATGGGAGGAGGAATGGAGAAAAAAATCAAAATGTAAGGACATTAGGGAAAAACAGATGGAAATTGAATGAAGTATGCAGTTTAGGTAATAATTTATTAGTATTGGCTCATTGTGAGAAGTATGAACACTGTATGTCAATACTGGAACAGTTGTGATAAATGTACTATAGCAACATGAGTTGTAAATAACAGAGAAAACTGTATATGTGTATGTGGGAACTGTGTACTGTCCTTGCAACTTTCCTGTAAAAGTCAGGCTATTTTAAAATAGTAGTTTGTTTGTTTTTTTAAGTGCTAAAATTTTAAGTCCATAGCGAACTGGGGAGGTAGGGAATGTAGTAGCGTGGAGTTCCGCTCC